ATAATAATAATAATAATAATAATAATAATAATAATAATTAGAGCAGTAACCAATGTATGGATATTTTGTAAATTTTTATTTTATAATTTTTTTGCCTATGCTTGACATTTTCTTTCCAGCGCCTGATCTAGAGGTCTGCATTCCCGCGGCTGTCCCGCGGGCGCCGCAGGACCCGACCAGATTTCTGCGGTGCGGGAATAAATTTCCGAATAAATCGCGGGAGCGGTCGGTAACGGGCTTAATTTGGGACGGGAGCGGGCTGTCTAGCAATATCGCAGATATTGCTATGCGAATGAGAGAGAGAGAGAGAGAGAGAGAGAGAGAAAGAGAGAGAGAGAGAGAGCGAGCGAGCTTTGCCTGTGTGTGTGCTTGTGTGTGTGTATGTTAGTGCGCGCGCACGCGAATTAGAGAGAGAGAGAGAAAGAGAGAGAGAGAGAGAGAGAGCTTTTCCAGATAGCAAAATACACTCGGGCCAGTTCCGGCTAGATTCTCGCCTGCCAGAGACTTACCACTCAGCCCGGCTCCAGCTGCCGGACTCCGGATGCTTGTGGACTCACTGCCCGATTCCGGCCCGAATCAATCGGGCCAGATGCGGCGACCGTAAGCGAGCCGACGCTGCCGCATCCGCGCCGGAAGCGGCCCGGAGCTGGCGCGACTCAGTATTTATATACCTTTATATAAAACCTTTTGGTATTACATTGGTACTTGATACATGGTATTACAAGCCTTTGAGTTGATATAACAGCAAACGCCTGTGTGTCTGCTTGGTGCTTGTGTGTGTGTTAGTGCGCGCGTATGAGAGAGAGAGAAATTTGTCTGTGTGTGTGCGGGCAGAAAACGGGGCGGGTCGGGCAGCGGGACAATAAATTCTTAATATAAGCGGGAGCGGTCGGGTTCGGGCTAAAACCTGGTGGGTGCGGGCGGGAGCGGGATTCAAAATTTAGTCCCGCGCAGATCTCTAGCCAGATCCCTAGTTGAGTTTGTCAGGTACTGTATGTACACTATTGTATTTTTGATTTTGTGTAAATTCTCCATTTCTATTCACTCTCTTCTTTTCTCGTCATACAGCAACTATCACAGCATGTAATGCACATTGTGAGTTGACATGCTTTTGGAGGGCATTAAAAATAGTGCAAACGCCAATTAGCTGATTAAGGCAAATCATGTTGCATTTAAATACCCAACCTTTGTAGTTTCTTAATTTCTTCAATAAATGCATTATACCGTTTTATTTTAAATTCATTTTTGCAATGTTAAATTCAGACAGTAGTTTAGCAGTAGAACTGGTGCAAATTGTTAGCAAATCTTTCTAAAAAAATGTTTTCCTCTTTGAAAAGTGCTTGCTACATTTTATTTCAGCAGCTTTTCCATTTTCAGAGAAACCCAGCAGGAACAGATAGTTTTGTGTTTACAGTTCTGACAAATGGAAAATACATTTACCAGAGCTAGGTGATCATTTGTCTGGACACAGGCATTATGAATCCCGTATTTTTAGGAAAACTTTCTGGCATAAAGACATTACCCACCTACAGTGTCCCTGTGTTTCTAACGCATCAACATTTTGTTTATATGCCTTGATATAATGCAAACCTGGTGGCTGTCGTTCCACACTGTGCACAGCCGTGTCAATGTGAAATATAATGTTGAATTTACAGACTCTGGGAGCTACTGTCACCTGGTGAAAAATCTGACCGTGCAAAATTTGAAGAAACAGTTCTTCAGCAGTTCTTTGCCATTTGGGGAATTGCGATAATGGAGGTACTAAGTCAGGCAGGTAATAGAAGTCATAATAGTTTCATGGTAGGAAAAAAAAATGACTCAGCAAAAAACAAACCTTTAGTGGGAAATTGCCAAGTAAAAGAAGTAGCAGATGACGATAGAATAATGGCTAAACAGGCCTGAACTAATTAATAGTTGTATTTCTGGCATGGTATCTGTTTATGCTCATTCGGTGATTGACTATTGGTTTCATCAGGAGTCATCTAAAAGTGGCATACAGTAACACATTTGCATTTCATCAGGTTTTTGCTATATACCTATAGCTAATATAGTTTTGGAAAAAAAATAACTTAAACATGCTTGGTTTATTTGAGCTAATTGGATTAATATGTATGGATTTGAGTAAAATGCTAGTATGTATTCTATTTTATAAATGTCTCATAACATTTCTCCCAAATTTTAAATAAAATAATTGCCTTTTATAGCTTTTTTTTCTCAGAAAATAATAGTTGGAATAACAAAGGTTTTCATTTGTTGTCATTGAATACCACCAAATATTGATTTCTTAACCCTTTTGTTAAAACATTAATGTTGTTTTGTGTAATAAATGTAAACATGTCTAAAAAGTGCCATATTTTTTGTTACTTCATGCCAAAAAAGCTTTAAATGACAACAATTTTTATTTAAATTGGGAAGAAATGTCATGAGTAATTTGGAGAATAAAACTAAAATTCTGTTTTACTCAAACACAAGACTACAAATCTTGAAAAGCTGAAAAAATTTGCTGACAAATAGATAAAATGTAACGGTTTGATGTTAATTAGTATTTCAGGGCTCCACTGTGATATTCTAATGTGTCATCAATATATATTATATATCAAGGGTTTTGGTATGTAGACTATTGTTAGACTGAATGACAGTGGGTGGGTGTCTTCTGTACATCATGGTAAAATGCAGTGCTCATACCATGGCCTTTGTGGGAGTGCACTTTTTTGTCTAATGGGAGGTCCCTTTCCACAATGATGTGGGCTATAAAACATACAAGATCCCTGTCATTAAACAACGAATAAACAAAACATATCTAAATATAAAACAAATATTTCTAAAATTGTAAATAACACTACAAATTAGGCTTAATTAACAAAACACAATGATAGTTTGGTTTACTTTCTCTCTAAAAAGTGCTTATTTTCCTATCAATAACTTTCTTTGACCCTTGAAAATATCTTTTTTTGCGAAATTTATTTTTACATGCACAAACAACAGCAGCCTAAACAAGAACATTGTATTGGCCTACTGTATAAAGCAAATAAAACAAAACAAAACATCACATCATTTATTTCGGAAAATGAATAAGCAGTGTCTAAACGTCCATATGAAAGCATCAGGCTGTCAGTCTTTGACATGAATGGACTTTGCTCATCAGCCCCACACACATTGATGCTCATGACAAGAATAGCATGTGTAGTGATCTTTTTTTTAAGTGAGGTGTAAATCGCCATTATGCATGTATGAATGATATTTTTGCACTTTTATACATAATCAGCAATGATCACGTTACACAATACTGAAACAGCACATCAAAATAACACATTGTCAATATTTTTTGAAACCCCCTAAAAATTCATGAATTATGTTTTCAGGGGAGTCCATGCCCTAATTAGAGGAGGCGAACTCCCCTGTAGTTCGCACCCTGGTAAAATGTGTAACAGTCAATATTTTTCACTCAGAAAAAAAAATTACATAGAACATAAAGAACATATTCTAATATATGAAAATAAAATAAATTAAAAGAAATGTCATGACTAATTTACAGAATAAAACTAAAATTCTGTTTACTCAAAACTACAAATCGTAAATAATAATGTTAATTAATAATATGATGTTAATTAGTATTTCAGGGCTCCACTGTGATATTTTAATTATATAATACCAGTAAAAAGTTTGGGGTCAGTAGGATTTTTAAATGTTTTAAATTAGATTATCCTGCTCAAGGCTGCATTTACTTATTCAAAAATACAGTACAAGTTGTGCAATAGTGAAATGTTTTTGCACTATAAAATAACTGCTCAAAAGTCATTTATAATTTAATTCAATAATTTATTCCAGTGAATATAAAGAATATAAATTTTCAGCTTCATTGCTTCAGAGTCACATGATCATTATTATTATTCACATAATAATAATAATAATAATAATAATAATAATAATAATAATAATAATATTAATAATAATAATAATAATAATAATAATAATAATAATTATTATTATTATTATTCATTCATTCATTCATTCATTCATTCATTCATTCATTCATTCATTTTCTTTTTGGCTTAGTCCCTTTATTAATCACGGTTGCCACAGCAGAATGAACCTCCAACTTATCCAGCATATGTTTTACACAGCGGGTGCCCTCCACACAGAAATGCTAACTGACCCAGCCGTTGCTCGAACCAGTGACCTTCTTGCTGTGAGACGATCGTACTACCCACTGGACCACCATGATTATTATTATTATTATTTTTATTATTATTAATATTATCATATATTTTTATCATTATCAATGGTGAAGTAATAAAAGCAATAGCGATTGGAGTAATAATTTTATTTAAAACTATACAATAAGAAAGCAGGTATTACAATATTTATAAATATTTAATATATTTATAAATGCAGCTTGGTAAACAGAATAATTTTCTTAAAAATTAAAAAAAAAAAACATGGAAAAAATGACCTCAACCTTTTGACCAGTAGCGTATACACAGCAAGAGTTTTGGTATGCAAACTATTATTAGACTGAACACCATTGTAGTGGCTGCCTTCTGTATATCTCAACGCAATCTCATGCCAATTTCTAATTTTGTGATTTAGTGGCTAATTTATATGAATTTGTACGATCTAATTTGTACAATTTAGTACAATTTGCTCATCACCCAATGATGGTTAGGGTTTGGGGTGGGGTTGGGTCCCACGTCTCCTTTTTAAAATCGTACATTTTTGTACAACTGAACTAGTAGGAATTTGTACGGATTAGCCACTAAACTGACAAAATATAAAATACGTACATTTCCTCGTGAGATCAGGCTGTATATCTTGCTAAAATTTATAACAGTTATTATTTTTCACTCAGAAAAAAATAAACAGAGCATATTCTAATATATGGAAAAAAAATGACACTTTTTTTTATCCTTGACCCACATGAATCAATATTGTTTATATTCATTTAGACGTTTATATTCATATAGAGCAATCTACGTTTTGTTACTGTGCTGCGTCCTTACCTTCAGTTTCTTCACATTCACACAGGGATCGTTAGAGAAACTCTCTGTGTCTGCAATCTGGATGTCTGCCTTCTCCAGCTCATTGGTCAAATCATTTCGCACCTGTCAAAGAGAGAGAGAGAGAATGAGTGAGAGAGGCAGGCAGAAATGAAAGAGAACTGAATGAAAGCCGGGTTTGTGGATGGTGAACCACCCAGAAAAGTACCCAATCAAAGGCAGCGCTCCCTTCCTGTGATACATGTCTCAATTCCCTCTAATCTCCTGCCGATCCGACATTCCCCCTGCATCCCAAATCAGCCCGGAGCATCCGTGGAAATCTCTCCTCCAAGGGTCCCACTGGGCTTTGGATAAAACACAGCTCCAACCAGCTCCGCTCCCCACAGACTTCATCCATCCTTGTCCATAGATGCTTTTTGAAAAATGGACCAGTCGCTTGCAAATAAAGTCTCAATACCTCGTGCCCTCCACAAAGATTTATGGCGTGAGAATCAAAGCATGTACTACATTGAGCTCGGGTATATTGTGTGACACAAAGGGCACCAGAAAAAGGGATCTTTTCATGTGCCGAAACCTACTGCTGCTGAAATTCCAACCCATCAAAAAGACATAGAGCTCACAAATATCACGCAAACATTCGCTCCGACATGAGCTGTAACTACAGGAGTCTGGGATGTACTGCACTAGGTCATGACTTTGCTACTGGAGAATGTTATGGGGTTTACAAGCAAGTGGAAAAGCAAGCAAGCTACAGCACGGTAAAAGAATGTGGATGTCATTCTGATCGTAATCTGTGTGTTTTTGTGGTGAAGTTTGTTTTTTTTTACACATCTGATAATCATGACATGTTTGGTCAGTAGGCGGAAATAGTGTTGTTATGATACTGAATTTTATTACCAAAGGGTACTAATATTTTAAAAACGCCCATTTCTGGCCAAACATTTAAGCTCAGCTGATCGTGTTCTTAAAGGTTCAAGAAACCCTTGAGTATTTTTTTTAGATTTTAACAGCTTTGTCTGTGTTGAGCATCAGACAAAGTTAGCACCTGTCAGCTTTAATTGTGGAGAAAACTGGCTAACTTTGAGCTTTTGTAAGCTAATTTTATCTTCCGGGTTTAAAATAATTTTGGGGGTGGGATCAAAATTGGTGACGTAGCCCAAAACTGCAAGTGGAGTGATGACGTGTCGATTTCTCAATATTATTTATATGGAGTTTTCTTATCCTATGAGAAGAGACTGCTTCTTAATTATTCATGACTAGACATGCGACTATGTTGATGTCTGGGTGAGACTGCGTCCACAGACGGCACGCAGTATTTAGCTGTTCCTGAAGGGTCGTATGTGTTTGTTTACAAGATCCACTGGGTTTGTTGCATGCTTTTTCCCTGTAATACTGTCAGGGCTGATACGGCAAAGCTGTACTGTATGTGTGCAGCAAGCATTTTTTGTTGTGAGAGCAGTAAGAGAATTGGAGAATGGCGGACTTTCTTTTATCAGTTGAGTTCGTTCATATTTAGAAACATCGCCGTGCTACTGTGTTTGCCTAAATCCTCCAGATTACCAGCAGAGCTAATGCTTGAAATCAGCAGGGCACGAGACCTGCTGCACTGAGTCTGCATTCAGACCAGAGGATTGAGGGAGAAGTCCTCATTTATAGTGTTCATATGAACACGATTATCTTTATAATTATATAAATTGTGGTTGTGTGTATATAAAATTATGAAAAACAAACGTAGCAGGGCATTAAATTACTGTTTATTTCTTTGCATTTTAACTTTGTAAACTATAAAATCATTTGTCTCCTCAGAATTTGTATCTCATTTTGTGAGGCAACTGAAAACAGTTGTTCGCTCCCTCCTTCTCCCCTGCTCTGCTGGCCACGCCCACTCCTACCTCTGCTCACAGAGCCCCGCCCATTATGATGCTTTTTTTTTTTTTAAATTCTGAGGAGGACTTGAGCTGAAAGAGGGGGGTTTCATGGCCCTTTAAACACCACTGATTTGAGATTGTGTTCATGTGTTCAACAGAAATGACTGTGATTGGCTGTAAAAGTAATCAGGTCACCACACTTCACCGCTGTTTACTGAGTCCAAACAAAAATACATAGACACTTAAGCATTTTAAAGCCACAAAGATGAGTGGATTCATCAGCGGTGAAGTGCGGTAAACTGATGTAGTTTCTGTTGGGCAAGTGAACACAATGGCAAATAAGCTGTGTTTAAAAAATTTACATTTTTAAAATTCCAGTACCGATTGGAACCAAAATTCAGTATCACAACAACACTAGGTGGAAAGCAATCTGATCAAATGTGTTTTTGTATACCTCTGTGTGATCAAAACTAAACAGTCTCAAATCGTTTTTTAAGCATGAGACAGACCAAGCAGACATGAAAGAATAATAATAATTCCTTAAATTTATACAGTGCTTTTTCTGGACACTCAAAGCCCTTAACACATTTTTGCGGGGAATCTCCTCATTTACCACCAGTGTCCACCTTACCACCTAACGAGGCGGCAGCCATATTGAGCCAGACTACACACCAGCTGATTGGTGGAGAGGAGACAGAGTGATGAAGCCAATTATAACATGGTGATGATTAGGAGGTCAGTGGGCAAATTTGACCAGGATGCCGGGGTTAAACTCGGACTCTTTTACAAAGAACAACCTGGGATTTTTAACGACCTCAGAGAGTCAGGTTTAATGTCTCATCTGAAAGACGGCACTCAACAGTTTTAAACTATTATTTTTCACAATCTTATCATTTTTGCTGTATCACTCATTAAATAAATGCAGTCCTTGTGAACATACAAGACATTCAGAAACACAACATGCCTGATCCAGTGTTTTTAGTCATTTTTTGTTGTTCTGTGTGAACTATTTTGATTATTTTGACTATACTGATCTCCATTTTTAAGCATGTGAACAGTAGTGTATGCAATTTTGTATATCACAAGGCAAAAAAAAAAGAGTAAAAAAAGAATAACACAGTGGTTTGTGTTAGTAAATAATACGCCAGTGAGTAAATAGTTTGTGTATGGAAACAGAAAGAGCTTGAACAGGTTATATTCCCAAATAAATGTTTTGAATTGTTAAAGGGATTATAAACTTGTTTAAATATTTGCTCTGTTGATCTGTCTCAGTTGCCCACTTGTGGTGGGATAACCCGCGATGGATGTTAAACAGTGTCGGACTGTTACAGAAACATGAACTCATTCTGCCAGACGTAACCTGAAAAGCCTGGCTGATCCACATTGTCTTGATTACTGATGCGGTGAGCATATTTGTAGCTTAATGCCGGCAGATCCTGGAAACCCCTTTTCACATGAGCAACTATGTGTGTGTGTGTGGATCTCATAAGTGGGTGTACAATACACAAGTGTTTGAATAGACCTCCTGATGGGAAGTTTTAAAGGCGAGACACTACAGGCAAAAACTGATTTTTCAAGCACCTGTCAGTTTTGATATTTTGGGCTTTTTGGTTTTTGGTCTGTTCAGTCTGAACATTGAAAATACACCTTTAAGTGTTTCTTTTATCACATGCTATATCAATTTGTGTCAGTAGATTTCAAATACATATTTTCAAAGCCCATCAATGAGCCTTAATCTCTAGTTCAGTAGAGCTTACTGTACATACACCAAACCTCACTGTTTTAATTCATATCTGTATCTCTTTTTAACAGAGGGATACGACCATACATAATTTGCCTCATTATGCACAACATTGTGTCTGTGCGCACAAGACATTTCCAAAATACTCTCTGTAAAAAAAAAAAAAAAAAGAAATCTTAAATTTTGATACTGCCATGGCTTTTTTGCATATAGAAACATACAGTGCTCAGCATATATATGAGTACACCCCTCACAAATCTCTAATTTAACTTTTTTTTTATAGAACGCTTTACAATATTATATTTGTGCAATGTCATATTTATACATTAGATTAGTCAGTACTAAAGCCAATTTTTGAGCTAATCTGATAAAATAACTTAAGAAAAAGCTCTAAAAACAGTGCAACCCAATTTATATCTTAGGAAAAAAATTTAATTAAAAAATGTTAAATGAGCAACATTGAAAAGAAACAAAAAAATAAAAAAATTGCATTGGGGGATAGGGGGGCTGGAGTTCGGGTAGTTCAAAAGATCTACCCCCACTGACAAAGGTCCAAAATTTGCCATTGGTCCAGAATTTTTGCCACTATTCTCATTTGTCCTATTTTGACTGTTAAGCAATACTAAATTGTGCAAATAACCCATCAAAGGTTTTAAGAACAAACAGACTATGACATAAGTAAAGTCAATTTTTGCTATTTACCTAGTGTTGTTAAATAAAACAACAAAAAACTAAAAATGCATTTTGTATTTTGAAATCTTTTCCACCAATATTTTTGCATGAATTTAAACGGATTAGATTCCATTTCTGAAGATGGTAGGTGACTAAAATGTTATATTAATACATTTATCCATTAATAAACCTGTTTTGTTCAATGCACCAAAATATGTGATCTATATTCACTGAGAAATGGATAAAAAATATTCTTTTTTAAAACAGGATGTACTCGTTCATGCTGAGCACTGTATATCATTTAAAAATATTACAAAACATCTAAATAAGCATTAATGTAATTAATCAACTGGGCAAGTATTTTGACACAGATTAATTAATTAACTTTTTACCTGATTTACCTCCAGTATCTGACTGAGGTAAGTTGAATGTGCAGGCCAGTTTTTTATTTGCTAATGATTTATAATGTAATAACTTTGTATTTTAATTTTTTTTTCTTTATTATATATCTTTAGGAAATATTTTCAGTACATCCAAAATTGACTATCCAACAAGCTAATCCAGCTAAAAAAAACAGCTTAAAATGCCAATAAATGGAGTATTTAAACATCATAATTAAATAGAAAATAATAACTGCAAAATAAGTCCACTTTTTTGAGAAAAAAGAAACACCTCTTTCACCAGGCTGGCTATGGGCCTGTAACTACAGAAAGGGAAGGTTTAAATCGAAAAATGATCTAAATGCTTTGGTCATTTTGAGGGAGTTGCTAATGGTCTAATTCAATTCAATGTTCTATGCTAAGCAAAGCTAAAAGTGCTCACAC